CCAGTTGGCTTGTTAGCTCAATTGGTAGAGCGCTGCACTAGTATCGCAGAGGTCAGTGGTTCGAATCCCGTACAGGCCTGAAATTTTTTTTTTTTTTTTTTTTTTTTTACAATAACATGAAACCAAAAAAAAAATTTTTCTTCAGGTCTGATTTTCACTATTGCTTAAAATAGTGCTTTACTGCGAAGGATCGTGCACATATACGTTTCATAACCGCAGTTCATACATATGTTTCATATGTTTGTTGTTGTTTGATTTATCATCTACGGGTTTATGTCGAATTAATTTGATGGCCTGCTCCCAGTTGGCTTGTTAGCTCAATTGGTAGAGCGCTGCACTAGTATCGCAGAGGTCAGTGGTTCGAATCCCGTACAGGCCTGAATTTTTTTCAGGTCTGATTTTCACTATTGCTCAAATAGTGCTTTACTGCGAAGGATCGTGCACATATACGAAACTAACTCTTAACACTAAAAAATCCAACTTTGTAATTTTTCATCCTTACCAAAAGCGACTGGCTTACTTACCAAAATTCTACATTTTTGATAACGAAAGGAGTAAATATGTTCGTCTCGAGTCTAAGGTTTACATAAAATATCTGGGCGCTCTTATTGATCAGAATCTCTCTTGGAAATACCACATTGCTTCTATTGTTACAAAAATTAGTAAAAATGTTGGGCTACTTGCAAAGCTACGCCACTCTGTACATCGACAAATACTATTGAATAATTTGGTTATATCAACTAAGTTGAAATTTTAAATTGACCACCGTAACGAATAAAAAAGCTGACGATTCGAGCGTTAGCCCTTCATCAGAGCGAATAGAGGAATTGTGGGTTGTATGTGGGTTTATATGCAGAAAGCGGAGCTACGCCATTGGTGGGAACATTGCGACGAGAAAAACACGAATAAATTAGTGGAATTGAAACGTTCGTTGATACTTGTGGGATTAAGGGTAACGATTTGAAAGATAAACTTTTGTTCAAGAGTTTTGAGGCTTTCCGTGTTGCCTAAATATAAGGAAAGACCGCTGATTGCCATTTGTTGTTAAGAATGATTAGGCAAATTAAAGTGTCTAGCGACTGGTTTGGATGCGTCCTAGTCATTCCTTTCTACGTCGCGGAGGTTTTCTCGGAATCGGTCACCTAGTCGTCTTCCTGTTTCGCCGATGTATAACTTTTTGCAATAAGTTATACATCGGCGAATAGATTCTAATAAAACTGGTGGACAGATTTTGGAAAGTTCAGAGCGGCAATGTAGAATTTGTTCGGTGAGGTGATTTCGTTTTTGGTACGTAGCTCTAATGGTGATTCTCATAATGTTGCGTGAAATGGAATTTTGGGCGCACTGAATTTGGTGATGATATTGGTTGGTAAAAGAAGATGCATGAAAATTGGAGCGAAAACCTTTAGGAATAACTTAGAACGAAGGCAACGGCCGATGAAGTTGATGTGGCTACAAAACCTAGTTTTGGCGAAAGTGAGAGTGGCCAAACGGAATGCTAGATCTTTACTAATAGGGGAAAAAGGAAAAAGATAACTTACGATTTCCTGGCGTAGTTCCTTCGTGAGATTCTTGAGGCTTGGCATGGTCCGCTGTTCTGAATGCTGTGGATTGAAGAATACTAAGACGAAAACTAGTCGCGGCGATAAAAAGACAAATGAATAAAGGCTGAAAGTTTCTAAAGAAACTGTGGTGCTGCTTCAGTGGGGGTAACAAGGTAATTTGGTTCTATCAGCTAAGTTGAAATTGTAAATTGGCCAGCGTAACGAATAAAAAAGCTGACGTTTCGAGCGTTAGCCCTTCGTCAGAGCGAATGGAGGAATTGTGGGTTGTATGCGGGTGTATATGCAGAAAGCGGAGCTACGCCATTGGTGGGAACATGGCAACGAGAAAAACACGAATAAATTAATGGAATGAAAAGCACTCGTTGATACTTGTGTGATTAAGAGTGCCGATTTGAAAGATAAACTTTTGTTCAAGAGTTTTGAGGCTTTCCGTGTTGCCTAAATGTAAGGAAAGACCGCAGATTGCCATATGTTGTTTAGAATTGTTAGGTAAATTAAAGTGTCTAGCGACTGGTTTGGATGCGTCCTTGTCATTCCTTTCTAATTCGCGAAGGTTTTCTCGGAATCGGTCACCTAGTCGTCTTCCTGTTTCGCCGATGTATAACTTTTTGCAATAAGTTATACATCGGCGGATAGATTCTAATAAAACTGGTGGACAGATTTTGGAAAGTTCAGAGCGGCAATGTAGAATTTGTTCGGTGAGGTGATTTCGTTTTTGGTACGTAGCTCTAATGGTGATTCTCATAATGTTGCGTGAAATGGAATTTTGAGCGCACTGAATTTGGTGATGATATTGGTTGGTAAAAGAAGATGCATGAAAATTGGAGCGAAAACCTTTAGGAATAACTTAGAACGAAGGCAACGGCCGATGAAGTTGATGTGGCTACAAAACCTAGTTTTGGCGAAAGTGAGAGTGGCCAAACGGAATGCTAGATCTTTACTAATAGGGGAAAAAGGAAAAAGATAACTTACGATTTCCTGGCGTAGTTCCTTCGTGAGATTCTTGAGGCTTGGCATGGTCCGCTGTTCTGAATGCTGTGGATTGAAGAATACTAAGACGAAAACTAGTCGCGGCGATAAAAAGACAAATGAATAAAGGCTGAAAGTTTCTAAAGAAACTGTGGTGCTGCTTCAGTGGGGGTAACAAGGTAATTTGGTTCTATCAGCTAAGTTGAAATTGTAAATTGGCCAGCGTAACGAATAAAAAAGCNTTTTCTCAGAATGAAAGGACAAGTTTTGCATCATGCGCGAGCGCATTTAGAAGTGGCGGGTTGGTCATTAGTTTGGAATTAACTTCTGACCAAAAAATTGTCTATGTTTTTGTTGCGGTTGAATGAAATAAGTGGAGGTTGCGAAAAGATAGTGCTTGTCTCCGGATCGTTTTGAAGTAATTTAAAGTTTTTTAAGAATGATGGATTTAACGGAGTGGTTGTGAGGGTGAAACGTGAGAGTGAGTGGAATTTTCCTTCTGTGACGTTTGTAGTGCTGACTGTCGATCAATAAATTGGGCGCGGTGGTGACCCGCTTGAACGACAGAAGCAGGGTACGTTAACCACGTTTTTCGAAAAACTGGCACATTGACTCTGAGTTTTGTGAAAAGTCAGAGTCATCACTACATAAACGACGAAGTCTTAGAAACTGAGAAAAGAGAATGAAATTCTTAACATGAGATGGATAAGAAGATGAATACAACAAGTAACTATTTAAGTCTGTTGGTTTGTAATACACACTAGTGGATAAACCGTTGCCTTCAATTGAAACTTTGGTATCTAAAAAGGATAAAGAATTGTCGGAATTTCCCAGGTATATTTTAGAGCCGGGTGAAAAGAATTGACTGCGGTACAAATTGTCGGCCGCTTTGGTGACAATGTCTTTGCGTTTTTTAAGGCTTTTTAGTGCAGACCACTCTCCATCGGAAAGATTGGAAAATTTGGTAATACGATTGAAATTAAGTTTGCCAATATCGTGGCGACACCTTTTGATGAAAAAGTCTAATGGTGCGAACTGACCCTCTGGGGCAGTCCGAAAAAAAGTGTCTTTGTTCGAGGTGTTAGAATCATCCTCTTTGTTATGAAAAAAGGCTATTAATTCAACGCCGCGAAGGAATTTTTTCTACGTCTTGTTTAAGTGAGAATTCGGCCGTTGTTTTAGAGATGGGAAAAAAATTTAAGCCCTTCCTGAGGACATATTTTTCTGAATCGGAAAGTTAAAGACTTTCTGGAATGATAACTACGGTTTTGAGGTTTTCTGGCGATGAGTGGTTAGCAATTTGGAGACCGATAAGTTGGTCAAGTTTTTGGGTCTTAATTTGGTTCAAGTGATTGAAAATTTTCGAATTAGTTAACTGAATTTTGACGCGGATAGATTGTAATAAAACTACTGGAAAGATTTTGGAAAGTTCAGAGCGGCAATGTAGAATTTGAGATACAATGAAAATATATGAAGTTCAATATA